CCAAAGAGGAGATATATGGATGCAGTGAGGGAGGACATGCAGATAGTTGGAGTCAGAGTAGAAGATACAGAGAACAGGGAGAGATGGAAATCAATGATTTGCTGTGGCAACCCCTAAAAAAAAGGGACAAAGCCGAAAGAAAAAGAAGATATACACATGTATATACACATACACACATACACATATATAATCACATATATACGCACATATACATATATACACATATATACATATATATATTATTAGAATAGGAAACAAAGCATTTACATCCATAAAGTCAAATGTGTTTTATTCAGACTGCCCCCTCCAGGTGTGGAGGAGCATCATTGCCGTCGTGTCATTGGCTGCTCAAACTTAATGAGACAATAACACAGTGTTTGTTGATAAAACATTTTTAAAGCCATGCAATAATAATAATAATAATAATAAAGCATCACTCCATACCTTCACTGACACACAGAGGGCGCAATAAATAAACCACAGGATGGACGGAAGGATATGACTTTCATTAACTGGCTCTTTTTTTGCTAACAGACAACTTTTTTTGTAACGAAAAATGACCCGGAGTTTTTACAGTGTTTGGATTAAACACGTGGTTAAAAAAAACCAACAAACAAAAAAAAAACCAGGTGTACAGATGTGACAAATCTAATCAATACATCAATCAATATATATATCAATATATATACATTATGGACGCACATTGTGGGATTTTTTTCTTTTCTTTGGTGAGTTAACGTCACACTTATAAACTACACAACGTCTGAACATGCTGTAAACAAATGACGTCATCTACACAAACAGGCACAAACCGGATTTGTAACAAACTCTCTGTAATTAACCAGTAACTAGTCTCACCATGACCAGGTATCGGACTCTGTCCTACGACTGTCAAAACCCTTTCACCGTTCAAATATTGCAAAACATTTTAATGGACGTAGTCCAAAGTATTTCCTGGGTGAAATCTTTCTGTTATGAAGTATTAAAACGGAGTACCCCGGAACCTGTATAACATATGTAGACAACAAGACTTACAGTATGTAACAAACTGTCAGTGTACACCAGGGGTCTCAAAGCTGGGGGGCAGGAGGTTGGGGGAGGGAGGGTCACATCAGTGTTTGATGTTGAAGAAAAAAAGAAACGCAGATCATTTAGAGGAATAAGTATTTTTGTCCATCCATCCATCCATCCATTTTCATCCGCTTATCCGTTACCGGGTCGCGGGGGCAGCAGTCGCCACCCAAATCACACTGCACCGTACCAACCCCCCAAACCTTCCTGCGGGTGGTGAGTCCACTGGAAGGTATTAACCGCCTAACCGAGATTCGAACCTGCCCAGGAGGTGAACCCTGGGGTTCCACACCAATGACAGAGACATTGCCTCTGGGCCAAAGCGCCACATATTTGCAAATCCTTTTGTCTAAACATATATATATACCCATCCATCCGCCTATCAAAAGCCCCCATTAACATATAATAAAATAATATATATATATATATATATATATATATATATATATATATATATATATATATAGTTACATCTGACAGGCTGTGAGATGAGTCACTGTGAAACTCACTCTTGTCTTTTTCTCTAGTTTGTACACAAGTTACATTACATCTGAAATGACTCAAGGTCAACGCTGAGTCACGCGTTTCTCCCGGCGGCATTTATCAGACAGTACAAGTGTGGGAGCGCGGCAAAGGAAATGAAAAATGTAATAAACAAAGAAGGACAGGGCATGTCGTGTAAAATATGTGTATACGAAAACATTTGGGGTGATAAATGAAGGCGATACTCGTATACGCGAAGCGAACGCTTCAATATTTACGGTTAAATTGTTGGGCGCATTTAGATAAACACAGGTACGTGTTTTTATTTTTGGCTAGCGCTCAGGATAAATGTTTTTTTTTTACATGAAAACAGCTCGAGAGTTTACCTCATGACAAAATTAACAAAATTCACAGTAATGTAAGTATAGCGATGCGATTAACCCCCTGACATATTTGGCCAATGTTGTTAAAAAAACAAACAGCGGTTTATGAGGGAGGCGGGGGTCACTATCTTGTTTTGATGCGTAATTCTTGTTTCCTGTCACATTCGCGCTACTTTAAAGCTCACGGAATTTAAATGTCTTCTTTTAAAATGCCACACCATATCCTGGTTTTACCCTTATATTTATATATTTTTATTTCAAAATATGATCACGTGTATCTTTAATATATGAAATATATATGTTTTAAATTTATTTGCGTTGTTTATTTCGCGGTAGGTGTATGTAACAAAAAGCATTAGTTAGTGAAGGTGATTGTTGTTGTTTACTCGCCGCGAACGCACCACGGCCCGTGTTGGAGGGAGGGCGGGGCCAGAGCTGTGTTGGCGGAGTCCTGTTCAGCCATGTTAGTTTCCTTCGCTATTCACAAACGATGAGAAAGAGGAGCCATGGCCTTGTC